ATTATAGCAGTGACGTGTAAGTTCAAACAGCAAACTGTAAAAGGTGTTTTCATGAAATGATGTAGACTAGGAGAGCCTCACTCTGATGATCCGGTCGGAGCGGTGGCGACGGCGAATGCGGTTCAGGCCCTCCAGGAAACGGATGAAGCCATCCAGCAGGACCCAGTCCCCGCCGCCACCTGCTCCCTCCCCATAAACATCCCAGTGCCCCTCCCCGTCTGCCACCCGCCTAGCTCCTCCGGCTGGCAGCAGGAGGAAGCGAGTCCTCCAGAACTTCAGAGAGTCGATCAAACTGTGGAGGCAGAAGAAAGGCATAGGTGTCCACTAAGGATGCTCTGACAAAGTGTTTATGAGAGAGTTAACTCACTCAAACTCTCACAACTCAACAGCCGATCACATATTTGGCTTTGATGTGTTTGTGAGTACCTGAAGTCCTCCGAGCCTGCAGAGCAGATGTACTGGTCAAGGTAGTTCCACTTGTATTCCTCCAGTCTCTCATGGCCAAACTCCACCCAGCAGGACACAAAGTGAGCGTCAGAATGTGGTGGACACAGGCTGTAGCTGTACTGGATCTGTGCTGACTCGTACGGGTACCTAAAACACACACGTCATGATTAAACAGGAGTTCCTTTTCCTTGTCAGTATTTCTTTTGGCCTTTCCTTTTAATTGGACAAAGACAGAGGGGAGCTGACACCGGATGAGGGAAGACAGATGAGGGATGACATGCATGTGGAGAACACTTCTCTAAAACATGTGACTCAGAACTTAGGGCATCACTGACACTGGTTCTGCTTTTTTACGAATATTCAGGAAGGTACTTCCCGCCTAATACACACAATAGCCTGTAAGCAGCTCCAGCTGAGTTACAGCAGCTCTCCTGTTTGAGACTTTAGGTTTTTTGTATTGGGGTTGTATGAGATATTTATCCACAGTCACATTAGATGACTGTGGATCCAGTCGGCCCGCCCACAGGTTGGAGAAACAGACAGGAGTACCAGCCTGTATCAGTCCTGATACCGATTGGGATACCTGGGTTGGGTATCAGCCGAGACTGAGTACTGATAAGATACCAGTGTTTAATTAATAAACTGTATGCCTCACTGTGTGGAAGGGATACTTTTTATCTGTAAGGTAACATCAGGCTGCTTTACCAACCTTGCAAAAACAAAATGTAATTAATTCAGAGAGTTTTACTGAATTTACTGAATTATATTATTATTAGAATAATAAATGGTACACCAGAAACTTGGTAAAAATCTTCTAAATAAACAGGAATTACAATTGAAGTGTAAACCTTTTTAATGGAGCAACAAATTGGTCAAAGTAGTATATAATGTAAAAAGTGTATAAACATAGAACTGAATTGAACAGATCGGCTCCATTATCCCCGATATCTAATCCATCTATTTGAGTCAGTATCGGCCCAATATCCCATCTCTGTATCCATTGACACAGGAGCTGCTGCTGTTTTAAAGGCAGGGTAGGTAGTTTTCTTCAAAAATATTTTTGATATTTTTGTTGAAATTCTCATAATTATTGGACGGGTACTATGAGTACTAACAATAGCCATGTTTGTTCTTTACATTCATTGAGATCATTTGGGGGGGGGGGGTCTTTGGAGGGAGGCCTGAAAGGATGGGCTGTCGATGTTGTCGACTTGGCGACTTTCTTACTAGATTTAACAATTTTAGGAGCTAGTGCTGCTACTTTCATTGGAGAAGAGTTGGCAACTCTGGGCTGGTTTATTTTCGTTTTTCAATCCAGCGTCCTCTTGGTAGTTCCTCAAGATTACCAACCCTGCCTTTAAAGCAGTGGTTCTCAAACTTTGTCTGTCACGCCCCACTTTGGAGGAAGAAAAATGTTCATGCCCCACCGCCCCAACACAACTGTAACAAAATGGACCATGTTGAATTTTTATTGAAATAACATTTTGTGACTCCTCCATCTGTGCTTTTTCAAATAATAGAATAAAGACAATTGCAATCACTTTCAAGTCAACCAGATTGCTCCATCAGACAAAAACAAATACAATGTGCAATCACTTAGAACAATGCAAATAAAGTTCTCTCTGTGCAAAAAATAACTAATATTTGGCAAAAAATAGCTTATTGTGGCTGCAATTCACCTGTTTTGTACTGAATATCTTTTCAATATAATAACAATAAAGTGCAACCTGTGAAAAACTAAACTAAACGAGTGCAGGTATGTGTGAGCCATCAAGTTTTATCAGTATTAGTGGCTGCAATGAGCTGCTTTCCACTACAGATCTTTTTAAAACGGGGTTGCAGACTTGATACGGCCACTCTCAATTCATGCTCAATGTTGAGCTTATATCTGTATTTTGTTTTGAGAGAGGCAACAGCAGAAAAGCCGATCTCACAGAGGTAGGATGTGGCGAAGGGAAGCAGAATGCCCACAGCCCTCTGTCCGATGAGTGGATGCTCCCTCTGCACACCGAGCCAGAACTCACTCAGTGTTTGAGCTGTAAACCTCAGCCTCCGGGTAGAGTCGGACGTCATCTCTATAATGTCTCTTCATTTTGCACACTAAGCTAAAAATGTGAGTCGCCAACAATCTTGGCCGTCGCGCATGCGCAAGCGTAACCTGTATACGGCGTAACGTAAACATTTACATGAAAGTACAGGCATTACGCCATGTATGTATTAATGACTTAGATTTATGTCCGTGTACTTTGTAATATGTGAAGTTCTCAATAAAGTTCTTGAAATAAAAAAATTCAGCATTTCCCCCTGGCCCCACCTGTAATACCACTGCGCCCCACAGTTTGAGAAATACTGCTTTAAAAGGGTTAGTTCAGTTTCACCAAAGTCCCACGATAGCACTAACAAACTGACTGATCGAGGCAGCGGTAGACCAGCAACTCCCCTGTTCTGCAAGGTAAAATTGCTGTTTTTGTAAAAGGAGTCTGGTCATAGATAACGGTTTCAGTTCCCTGTTGGAAAGGGCTGAATGATATCAAGGTAAAGCGATGAAAATACTCTAAATATAACGTACGCTTAAAGTGATCTTTGAATTTTTTAGGTGTCTAGAAGAGGTTTTGCTGCCCCTGTTCGGGCTACCAGGCGTACTCACTTGGGCAGGTAGCGAGTGACGGTGATGATCTTGTCTTTGAGGCAAACCTTATGGAAGGTCCGGCCCATACTGAGCCAGTAAACTGTCTCCTCCTCCTCAGCTCGACGCAGAGAGACCAAGCCTGAAACCCCAAGAAGACAGAGGACACATTCAGTCACCATGGGTCTGTTGATGTTTTCTAACATGTCATTTAAAAGCTGCTGAAAGACGCAGTTTGAGAATCAGGGGCTACAACAGTGAATGACTAGAAAATGCATTTCCTGCTGAAAATGCGTTGGAATGCTGAAAGCTGAAATGAATTGTAAAAAAATTGCTGAAAATTAAGAAATGGGAGACTACCCGTCTGAAAAATGTTGAAGCCCGAAAGCATTTAAACTGCACTGCTGAAAACCCTTCTACTTGAAATGTCTAACTATGTTGTCTGTAGCTGAAAGTATGAGGGAGAAGAAGGCTTTGAAAGTTGAAGTTTAACAGGATTTGAAGATTTTCTCCATAGAGATCCTATTAAAAAAATTGCAAATAGCTTTATAATTCAAATAGCATAATATTTCAAAGAATTTAAAGATTACAAATATGAAAAGTCATTTCACCCCTCTCCTGAAAGAGCTGAACATTTTAATATTTGAATGGTTTCTGTGGCTTAAAAAATGTCAGCAGTAGTGATATTTGTAGTAGTAGTAGAAGTTGTAGTAGAAGTATTATTAGTAGTAGAAGTATTAGTAGCATTAGAATAAGTAGTAGTAGTAGCAGTAGTGATATTTGTAATAGTAGTAGAAGTAGTAGTTGTAGTAGAAGTATCATTAGTAGTAGAAGTATTAGTAGTTAGAAGAAGTAATAGAAGTAGTAGTATCAGTAGTAGTAGTAATAGCTGTAGTAGTGGTCGTAGTATTTAATATAACAGTAGTAGTAGAAGTAGTAGTAGTAGTAATAGTAATGGCAGTATTTGAAGTAGCAGTAATAGCAGTAGTAGTAGTACTAGTAGTAGTCGTACTAATAGCTGTAGTAGTATTAGTACTGGTAGTAGCATGAATAGCAGTAGTAGTAGTAGCAGTTGTAGTGTAAGTAACAGTAGTAGTGGTAGTAATAGCAGTAGTGGTAGTAATAATATTGAAGGTAGCAGTAATAGCAGTAGCAGTAGTAGTAATAGTAGCAACAGTAAAAGTTGAAGTAGTAGTAGTAATACTAGAAATATTAGCAGCAGTAGTAGTTGTTGTCGCAGTATTAGTAAGAGCATTCATTATTTCAACAAAAAAGCCTAATTTTGAGCTTAATGTTTAAATACAGTTAATCCATGGGGCTTTTATTTTGAAAGGGTGGGGCTGGGTGGGGGAGAGAGGAGGAGGAGACAATCAGAAAGTATGAAACACACAAACAGAGGTTATTAAATGACAGACTTCATCATAAGCATTTCAGTTAGAATTCATTCTGTGGGGCTTTTATTTTGAAATGGGGTGTGTGTGTGTGGAGGGGATCCTCTAAAGATCTCTAACACCTGAATGACTGTATGAGAGAGAGACACACACAGAGAGAGCGAGAGAGAGAGAGAGAGAGAGAGACACAAAGAGAGAGAGGGAGAGGAGTGCATGTGTGTCTGTGAGCCTGTGTGTTTATCAACATCACTAATTAGCTTAATCAGAAACACCTGTGTCCTTGCAGCCTTTTCATGGAGATAAAACAGGGAAACATCTCTCAAACAAATCCTCAAACCTCCCATAACCGTAGCTCCTGTTGCTCCGATATTAATAAATGAGAGGAAGGATGAGTTGAAGAACAGATTCTGTAAAAATTGTGTCTGTAGTGTAAAAAATGTGGCTGAACTTGCGATCTAGAAATGGGGTACCATGTTCCGTGGAAGATGTTTTTGAAGCAAAATTTAACATTGGTCTCTATGGAGCAGAAACTTGGTTTTCCTCTCAATTACAGGCTTCTGTGCCAAATGTGTAAATATGTGGGATTCCACAGTCATTTGTCTACGACAAGGACAATATTAGCTACTTTTAAATCCAGAAATGATGCATAAAGAGTGAAGATTGTGGACACAGTGGCAAAAGACAAATCTTTTTTTCACAAGAATCTCAAGCTGCTCTTCACTCTAGCGGTGACATCACGCGCTCTAAGCTCCGCAATACACACCCATTATAAAGTCAGAAAAGGACTTAGAAAGTCATAAAAGTTAAATTGCTGCAGTTCAAAAAGTGTAAAAGATAAGATATCAAAAAGCTGAATCACGTGGCAATAGCTCAGGGTTTTCTCAACAGAGAAAACCCTTTCTCAGCTTAAAAAATGTGGAAGGAGTTAAGTAGCAAAAAGCGTACGGAAGAAATATAATTATAAAACTAGAAAATGCATTTCCTGCATTTCATATTTCTAATCTTTAAACTTTTTGAATTATTAAGATTTTTGCAATTTTTATTTTGAATGGGATGTCAATGGAGAAAATTTTCAAATCCTCTTAAACTTCTTCAACTTTCAAATCCTTCTACTTCCTCATAATTTCAGCTACAGACACCATTTAAACTTTAAAATGTTGTGAAAACCCTGAGCTATTGCAGAATGATTCAGCTTTTTGATATCTTTTACACTTTTTAAACTGCAGCAATTTAACTTTTATGATTTTTTCAGCCCTTTTCTGACTTTATAATGGGTGTGTATTGCGCAGCTTAGAGTGTGTGATGTCACCGCTAGAGTGAAGAGCAGCTTGAGATTCTTGTGAAAAAAACATTTGTCTTTTGCCACTGTGTCCACAATCTTCACTCTTCATGCATCATTTTTGATGGAGAAGTATCTAATCTTGTCCTTGTCGTAGACAGATGTCTGTGGAATCCCACAGATTTACACATTTGGCTCAAGGAGCCGCAGAGCGACATGAACTCCAACAAACTGCTCCATTAGACTCCATGTTAAATCTGACCACTCATTTCTCAAAGAAAGCAGACGGTACCAGTTTTGTCTATTGCTCTGGAGCTCACATTTGTAACGCCACAAACATAAAAAACACATTACCGCGTTCGGCAGAGTCTTATCTTTCTCACAGTATCCATATTTTGGCACTCAGACTCCTGCTTTTTGTGAAAAGGGGCTTTGTTCAAAATCACTGTTTACTGTAATGTTTCTTAATCAGTCTGCCTCTAACACCAGGTGCGTCGTCACCATGGCAACCAGTTACACACACGCACGCAGGCTCGCTCTCTCTCTCTGTCTCTCTCTCTCTCATACAGTCATTCAGGTCTTAGAGATTTTAAGAGGACTTTCCAGCCCCCCACCCCATTTCAAAATAAAAGCCCCAGAGAGTGAACTCTACCTGAAATGCTTGTGATGAAGCCTGTCATTTAATAACCTCTTTTTATGTGTGTCAAACATTATGATTATGTCTCTTCTCCCCCACCCAGTCCTTACTGCTACTACTACTACTACTGCTATTCATGCTACTACAAGTAGTATTACTACTACGGCTATTAGTTCAACTGCTACGAGTACTACTACTACTGCTACTTCTTCTACTGCGATTACTATTACTACTATAACTACTTCTACTACTACTACTACTGTTATATTAAATACTACGACCAATACTACAGCTATTACTACGACTACTGATACTACTACTTCTACTACTTCTTCTAATTACTAATACTTCTACTACAACTTCCCCTACAGGACATTTCCCTTTCAAAATGTTCAGCTCTTTCAGGTGAGGGGTGCTTTGACTTTTCATATTTGTAATCTTTTAACTTTTTGAAATATTAAGCTATTTGCAATTTTTTTTGAATGTGATCTCTATGGAGAAAATCTTCAAATCCTGTTAAACTTCTTCAACTTTCAAAGCCTTCTTCTTCTCATACTTTCAGCTACAGACACCATAGTTAGACATTTCAAGTAGAAGGGTTTTCAGCAGTGCAGTTTAAATGCTTTCGGGCTTCAACATTTTTCAGATAGGTAGTCTCCCATTTCTTAATTTTCAGGGAAAATTAAAAAAAAAAAAAGGGAAAAGTCCTGTAGTGATATTTGTAGTAGTAGAAGTTGTAGTTGTAGTAGAAGTATTAGTAGTAGTAGAAGTATTAGTAATTAGAAGTAGTAGTAGAAGTAGTAGTATCAGTAGTTGTAGTAATAGCTGTAGTATTGGTCGTAGTATTTAATATAACAGTAGTAGTAGTAGAAGTAGTTATAGCAGAAATAGTAATGGCAGTAGAAGAAGTAGCAGTAGTAGTAGTACTAGTAGCAGTTGTACTAATAGCCGGAGTAGTAATACTACTTGTAGCATGAATAGCAGTAGTAGTAGTAGCAGTTGTAGTGTAAGTAACAGTAGTAGTGGTAGTAATAGCAGTAGTGGTAGTAATAATATTGATGGTAGCAGTAATAGCAGTAGTAGTAATAGTAGCAACAGCAAAAGTTATAGTAGAAGTAGTAGTAGTAGTAGCAGTATTACTATATTAGCAGCAGCAGTAGTAGTTGTCGCAGTATTAGTAAGAGCATGAGGCTTTTATTTTGAAAGGGTGGGGCTGGGTGGGGGAGAGAAGACATAATCGTAATGTTTGACACACATAAAAAGAGTTTATTAAATGACGGGCTTCACACCAAGCATTTCAGTTAGAATTCACTCTTTGGGGCTTTTATTTTGAAATGGGGTGGGGGGGGAAGGGAAGAGGATGCAGAATCATAATGTTAGATAAACATAAACAGGTTATTAAATGACAGGCTTCATCACAAGCATTTCAGTTAGAATTCATTTTGTGGGGGCCTTTACTTTAAAATGGGGTGTGTGTG